CCTCCCTACACAAACTAAGTGCAAACAGCTATGGCTACCAATTACAGACATTTGCTGAAAAGCAAGGTCAAACTTTACTCCTTTCATTTTTTTCCCAGTTCCCTTCTCATGCTCCCCAATAAATTGAAAAATGGTGGAAGTACTCTCAGACCCAAGTATTTCACTGACCATCTCCACAAGTAATTGAAACTGTTAATACATCAATTCTCTTACCTGCTGTGCAGCCCTATGACAAAGCCCACATCAGGGCAGCCTATGTGTTAAGGAAACTCAACCCATCTGTTTAAAACCACAAAGCAGAAGAGCTACGTTTTAGCTGTTAAGGGGCTAAACACAGGTAGAAGTCAAAGGCAGAGAGGGCACGTTTAAAGAAAGGTAGGTAACTATTATAAATAGAAGTATATTTGAAATCAGGCCTTCCCTGGCCATCAGAAATGCCAGTTTTGGAACAGCTCTTTTGCATTACAATCTACCTAGTTTTGCAAACAATCTACCTAGTTTTAAGCTTCACATATATACTTTTTTGGAAGAGTGATCGGTCCATCTGTGATGGTACTAAGTTTAAGTCTCTTCTTGTTTAGTTCAGAATAAAAAGGAGTATCAGTAGTTCTGTTATGTCCGTATTTTTCTGATAATGTATAAGGAAAACAAAACTTTCATGAAAAAAAGCTGCAAAGGGATGCACAGGCATGTAAATCAGAACTGCCTTTTAATACTAGATCTTATGACAACCAGGTCCCCTTCTAGCCAGGTCCCCTGCTGTTACAAAACACACATGCTGTATGTATTTCCTGTCCTCACAAATAGATTTCATACACAGAAAGTGCAACAAGAACCACCAATATGCTTTAAAAAACAAAACCAAGAGACTTGTATGTATAAACTGATATACAAAGAGGGCTACCACCAGATTAGTTACTCCCAGGTAAATCCACTATTCCTCCACAAGCACTTTTTAACAACCTCTGACACTTTATATTAATTTATTAATTCCAGGAAACTAAGACTTACTTTTTCTTTTTTTTTTTTTTTTAATGTTGCTGTTTCTCCCAACCCCCCCCCCCCCCCCCGAAATCTGGACAGGAGAAAGTCCCATTTTCTGATTGTATATAAACACCTAGTGTTGATTAAAATAATACATTCTGTTCAAATCAGCAGGAAGAGTTTCCCTTGCAATCTGCTGTGTTAAACAACATGTGAAACTTGCTTTAAAGGTTTTTAGTTGCAATTGTTTGCCCTAACTACACATGCACTGACATCTGTCTTCTTCCCATAGCTTTTTGTTTCACAAAGGAACAAATATGAGCCTGTTAAAACAAAAACACCCACCACCCTCCCCCCCCCCCCAGTAAAACACCACACACACTTCTCCCTTTCCCCCGGAACAATTTTGCATGCTTTTCTAGCAAAAATGCTGTTGTAGAATAAAAATAAAGGAAGTGAATGATGCCATTAAATAAAGAGCTGCAAATCACAAGTAGCTAACTAGAACACACCACTTCTCTACTTTCCTTCCTCTATTTTCAGGCTCCTCCCTCAAACAAATGATGTAAACAGTTACATAAATCTTGAAAAATACCTGGAGAATTTACAAAGCTATTTAGCTTCATGTGCCAGGCACCTACACACATTAGGATGCCTACGACACCCTTTGCCTGTCTTCACCCTCAAACTACTCTTGAAGTTTCCCAAGTTGTCAGCCTACACTGTTTATTCCTTGAATACCAGCTCTCTCTACAAGTAATCATCGATGCTTGCTCAAGTTTCTGGAAAAGTATGTACTGTAATCCCATTAATTTAGTTGTACGAGAAAAGCTGTAGAGGCAGTTGCAGAAAGGCAACAACAACAGCGAAAATGTGTCCAAAAATGCTGAGCACCTGCTTTCAACAAAGTGGTCAATTCTCTAGTAAAGTGCTGATTTCTAGCAAGCACTGGAAAACCACCAAATTATTCAGCTGTTAAACCACAGACTAGCTAAAGCTCTAAACAGGGCAGAATGAGGCAGAATACACCTCTTGCAGAAGCTTCAGGTTCTTTTCAGAAGTAGACAACACATTTGCTTTACACATTTAAATTGGAGTGCTTTTTCTTTTTTTCAGTCTCTATTACTATTTTTATATATATATAGGGATGCCTCTGATAATGCCTAACGGCATCAATTATTAACCATTATGCAACATGCTATATCACATAAAATGAACAAGAACTGCAAGGTTCAACTCACAGTAAACAAGGCTAAACCTGGCCCTAACCAGTAATTCTGCAGCACGTGTTCGAAACCAAGAAATTACAACTGCAAAAGTTTCATGACCTCCAATTACAAATTCAAGTAACGCCAATTATAAAGGGCAACAAGAACTGTTTTATAATGAAATACAGTTTAGGAAGAGTCTTATCTGCAATCACAGATGCTACTAGTATCACCATTACCATGAGTTTTCACTATATAAGGAAAGAAATACAAGGCCAAAAACTAAAAAAAAGAAACAATGACGCTTTTAATACCCCATCACAACCATAATAAAAAGTTCTATTGAAAAAAAAATGCTTCTTTGTAAATGCCAGCAGGCTTCTATAGCAAAGTTCTGTCTAGCAGAAGCTTTCAGGCAGATTAAAAAAGCATATGCCAAGTCTTACACATTCCCCTCATAGTAAGATAGACAACGACTTACCACAAACAAGGCTCCTCCACTGGCATTGCATCCTGCTGTTCTATGTAAGTATCGGACTTGTCTTATCTACAAACAAAATAAAGTACAAAGTATTAAATAGTTAATAATTTACATACTGCTAGTGGCTGCTTTCAGAACCAGCTTGATTTCTTCTCTAAACTATTAATACTACTATCATCATTAATAATTTAAACTAAGTCAAGAAGAGACTATTAGGAGCTTTCCTCTACTATTAGGAGAGAAAATCTCTTAATTCACTTTGACCGTTTTAGACAACATAGAAGTAAAAGGATTTAACTTCAGGTAATACTCTGCCACAGCTTAATTGAAGTGGCTCGAAGACAAATTCTCATCAAATATTTAATGAAGAATTTTCTGATTTGTTAGTTTATATCATAAGTACTTTATATGTAAAATCTGCAGAAACTACCACTACTGCAGTGGTTCTTTCTCACTGACATGCTTCTGCAGCTTTTATCTAACTGAGCAGTATGATCAGGCATATGAGGACAAATGTAAACACAAATCTGAAATATCATCAGAACACACATCTATATGCAAGTTGTTTAGCTATTCTCTGTACTCTCTGTCTGGATCTGTCATGCCAAAACAGATCAAGATTTCTAGATTCTGGCCAGTATTACTAAGACAACTTGTTAATATTATCTTGTCATAAGTAATCATTCTATAACAAATTTAATTTTGTGTTATTATTATATTGAATTCTGGATCAATTTTTGTATTTCCTAAAGTATAGCATATATATAAAAAAAATCCCGCCTTAACCAATTAATTTCTGTTACTGTACAAAATCTGTGGGACTCCAGATCAGCATCAGACTAGTGAGAATGTAGTCACAGGGTGAGATCTGAAACCCAAGCCTAAGTGCCAGGGAACTACAGTCCCTTCCCTTCTGTAAGAGAAACCTGATCAGCTTAATGCTTTCAGCAGCAGTTCATGTCGTTTCACCCACAGTGTAGTTTCACACGCTGGCTGCTGTCATATGATCAGTCCTTCCGGGAAGCACTAGATCTACCGCGCAGTTATGTGTATTGTGTGTTCCTCTTTGCTCTCCACTTCTGCGTCATCTGAAAGCAGCAGCTAGGAAAGCAATTCATCTTCCATTCTTTGTCAGAGGCCAACATGAACTCTGGGATACATGGATAACTGCTGACTGCAGATCATTCCCAAATGGCACCTTTTCAAGAGACTCTCAGGCTACCATCTTTATCAACTGACATGAAACACATCAAATGAAGTGCACTGGCATGGCAATTTGAGTGCCCTCAGTGTGCCAGACAGCACATAAAATACAGGGAAAAGACTTTTGAGTAGAGCATGCAAATATAACTGAAAGTCTGCAATGCTGAAAGGAACATACAAACGAGAATGTGATGCTCTGGTATAAATACTAAAGTACGCTAAAAATATAACACATGTATGCAATGCTCCTTCAGAAGGAACTATTTCAGATGAAAAACCCTTATTCTATCCAAAGATACTGTTCTGTTTTCAAGAACCACACCTGTCATTTCAGACTCTGAAGAAGAAACCGGATGAGCCCCCAGGTTTTTTGAACTGGCCTAAAGGATTTCTATTGGTGTGAAGCACTGACTCGAGAATGAAAAACAGATTAAGGGGCTTCCTTCCAATGGATAGTCTGACATATAGACAAATCAGAAACTTTACTTCCATATGGGAAGCTTCCCGATAACCTACAATAAGCACCACGCAGTTACTTCTGCAGCGTCTCCAACCTGTCGCAGGCAGCACACTTTAGAGCCTGCCAGGTAACCCCAAGCCGCGGGGCCTTGAGGGCGAGAGCAACACCCGGCACTGACGCCCTTCCACCACTTGTCCCGGGCCTTTCTTCCCCGTGGCCGAGCCCTACCGCAGGCCCCGGCCCCCCTCCCACTGGGAGAGCAGCACCGGCTTCCCCCCAGGTCCACCCTGCCCGCCGCGGCCTCCTCCAACCGCGCCTGCCGGCAGGGAACAAACGTGTAGCCGCCGCCACAGCAACGGCCTCCCCCTTACCGAGCGTGCGGCCGCGGCCCGCAGGGGAGCCCACAGGAACATGGCGACAGCAAAAGCAAGGAGCACCCCCTAACCCCCCCTTCCCTTCTCCTTGAGGCCTCCGCTCGCCCTCCGCGCAGCGGCAAGGAGACGCTCTCCGCGCATGCGCTGGGTACGCTCCCCTGCGCGCGCGTACCCGCTGCCGCCCGCGAGCCGGGCTCCTCGGCGGGAGCGTGCCGGGTGCGCTCTCGCCGGCGGCCGTTGGACGTTATCAGCGTTGGGTTTGCGCTGTCCCCCGTGGCGGACGTGGATCCCGAGCGAGTGGGGTCTCCGCTCGGTTACTGCGCTGGAGGGTGTCGTGGCGGCCTGCTCTGCGAGAAGTTACCCGGGCTGCCCCTTCTGCATTGTCAGACCCGGACGGTTCGTGTCAAGTAACAGAAGCAGCCCACAGGATGAATAAAAACACCAACAAACCAATAAAATCCTTTGGAAACAAGGACCCGTGGTAAATAGAGGGAAATCGCGGAAATTTGTGAGGCTTTCTGGATCCTCTGTTTTCCTTCTTTCAGCCCAGTTTTGTTGACTGAGTTATTGAATGTTTTAACTCTTTGCACCTATGTTTTGACCTTCCTTGACCAGAAAAAGGAAGACTTAAAATTTGATTGCCTTCATGGCTTCGTAGCAGCCTACCAGTATCTGAAGGGGGCCTACAAGGGTGCTAGAGAGGGACTCTCCATCAGGGACTGCAGTGGTAAGACACTGCTTTGTGCGTTCAGCCTCCTACATGCACTGACCTTAAGTGTCGAAGGCCTGCCTTCGCAGGGCCTGGTGCAGCACCACAAAGCGTGTGCATACAATGGCTCAAAACCACTATCAGTAAGTACCTGACAGGGTCTTTTATGGACCATAATGATTCCAGACCACTCTCTTTCCAGTGTGACCCATCAATGAGGGAAGCTGCATTCCAGAGAACAAGACTCCCTGTGTTTATTCTTTGGACAAGGGTTTGGAAATGTAGCAGGTGATGTACTTCTGCCTGTGTCTCCAGGTGTGCAAGTACTGGTGAGAAATGGCCAGACCACCTCTTCCTGTAATCCTGCGCCTTGTCCTCAGCATCCTCACAAGTATTAATTGAATGGGCTAGTAAGGGAGAGATGGAGAGTACTATTCTTTTTAGCAAATATATGCTAGGCAATTATTCTGCAACCAAATAACTGTTCAGTATGTCACTGTATTTCTTCATTAGTATGCATATTATGTCAAATAATTGCCACCAGGCTTTTGTTTTAAGTGCAGTCATACTAGGGGTATTTAGTGATTGTTACATTACTCTCTGCCCTGAAATACAAAAATAAAGAGATTGGCACTCATTAATCTTGAATCCATTATTTATGTACAGGCATTTACTGTATATTTTCTGACATTCAACAGTAGTACCTCCAGCCACGGCATTACAATTGGACTGAAACCATTAAATTTTAATTATTTTGTAACACATGCTCTAACACTGTTATAGAAACAATAAGTAATTTGCAGTGTAGGGACTGTGAATGTTTGCAAGCCATTTGAAGATTCTTCTGAAAACAGGTCATCTGGAGAGAACGTAAGCACTATGAAATGGTATCACAGGCTTCTTACTGCATTAACACACCTTCAGTCAGTTCTGCTGTAAAAAAGGCTATTAAAATCTTTCTGAAACCTGAGCATTACACATTATTATGTTCATATTGAACTAGTTCAGTGATCTATTTCACGAAGTGTGCAAACACAGGGGACAAACAGAAGAGATCTATGTAATTAAGGCCTAAAAACATTGGAAAACAAAACATTCTCAGTTGCAGTCTTCATGTTGTGACTGTACAAAACCTGGCTTACATACCCAGGAGTGTTTGAGATTAAAAAGTGCTGCTATCTTTGTGATACATTAGATTTAATTACATATACCACACAGTAGAATTAGTGTGTAGTATGATCTGAGACCCTTTTCTTTAAGGAAGGTAGAGACAAAGCAGTCAGTGAACTGCCTCCTCATTTAACACACTCACCTGAGAATAGTAAATATTAGAATAGATATTTTTAGCACCATAGAAGGAACTCTTCCAACAAAAGATGACTGTATAGTTGGTGTTGAGGTTGTACATGCAACCACTTCTGCAGAACATTTTACTTCAGAGAAATAACTACAGAAGTATAAGGACTGGAAAGAAAAAAAGAAGGCATGTTGGAAAAAAACAACGATCCCACAATAACTTAGCCACCAAACTGGAAGTAAACATCAGGGGATACTGCAGATACTGCTGCAGGGGAAGGCTGCCTGGGATAATAGTGCTTACTATACCAGAGAAACCTGGAAGGTGTAGTTGTTAGAGCATCTGAAAATACATTTAGAAAGAAGGAGCATGTCACTGCCACAGGTAACTGGCCATAGCTTCTGTGCAGGTGGAGAGTGGTATAGCTCCACTGCAGAAGAGAGAACTGAACAGTCTTTCCTCATCCAAGGACCAGGCCTACTGGTTTGTGAGATAGGTGTTTTCACATTGCATGCAGCAAATAGATTTCAGTTATTTTATGATTGCTTTGCTTCCACAGCTTGAGTATTAGAGATGACAAATTTGCATCACTGTTCTACAGTACGCTTGAAGCAAATGGCAGCAGTACCAGTAAATGGTGAATGATAATGAAAATAAGCTCAAGCTTTATTGTGTTCCAAATGCAGATAAAATGTTTATAGCCTCAACATCCTTTACATAATACCCACTGAACTCAGTAAAATATTCATACATAGTTTAGCCAGTTATTTTGTATTACATCATGAAGCTCGATATAGATTTAAAAGTAATCTGTGCTTAAATTCAAAGATGATTTATTGGCATTCCTTCATGATATAATCTGTTCCGTACACAGATGGCATTACAGATTAGCAACACATGTCAAGTTTTTTCCTTTACTGTGTACTTTTACGACACACTGCACTTTACTTAGCATGCATACATATTGCTTATGTTCCTAGATGCTGTTTTAGTGTTACTGAGATCTAATGAGGAAGCCTACACTGTACTATGAAACACTGTTCCACTGAAAGAATAGGGGATGATGAAAAACGTCTTGATGGTGTTTACTCTTTGCACAAAGTACAATTTTGTAAGACCCTTGATTAGATCTGTACTTTCTGCAAATGCAGTTGTTTCAATATGCTCTAGCAGTTTAAATTTCACCATCATGTGAAAGTACATTTCATATTATGCATGAAAGTGAAAATACACTTAAAGTTTAGAAAGAACCTTAAACTGTCCTTAATTTCTACTACTCACATTATTTAGAAATATGTAGCAATAACTCCAATGTGCCCATATGCGTAGAAAATTGTGCTGTGAACGAAATAATTGTAGTTGATGTATAATCAAGACTTTGTTATCCAAAGATGAAGACCTCTTTTAGAATGTGATTACGAATTACTGTTTATCTTACACATAGAAAAATGTGAAGCAAGTTTATACTGACCCCCAGTTAGTCACAAGAAGTCACCAAGAACTGGAAAAGAACACAAGTCCACCAACCTATAACCCAACATCCTATTCTGTGGACCATGTTTTTCCCCTAGTCAGTTCCCAGTTACCAGCCATTCATAATCCCTGATTTGCATCATGGAAAGGGCACTAGGAATAAATCCTTCTCAATTAAACTATTAATAAAGAAGGATGAGGAGTTAAATGCATTCACACACTTAGCATTAGACACTTAAATGTCCTGGCTAGAAACCTGCACTCCTGTGGTTAACTGACTCTCTTCTGACTATGTACAGAGCCTGAAGAGCTACTTTCCTAAATTAGTTTCCCAAGTCAGGTACCAAGAGCTATAAGGAAGAACAGCTTCCAAATACCCTACACAATTTAATTTTAATTCATATATTGCTTCTGTATTCAAGTTAGATATCAATTTAAGCTTAAGAATGTTTTGATGTGTAAATAAACTGCTGTAAGAGACACTGCCTATCTCTTCAGTAAGGTCGTGAAAGGCTGCTGTGACTTCCACTAGCATCTCCTGACTTTCTCATGTTAATAATCCGTGAAGTTCAAACACCATTCAAAAAAGTGGTCAGCGTCTTTTTGCAGGAGCTTTGAACTTTCTTTATTCAAAAGGGCAGCTAGAACTATAATTAGGTACAGCTAGTCTTCATTATTTAGCTCATTTATTATTTATGTCTTCCTCCCACAGTGCCTGTGAACCTCACATCTTGTTCTGGCAGAGAGTCTGAATGTTGCTCTACTTGGTTTCACAAGCTCCAGGCATGGTCCTTGATTTACCAGCTGGGCTTCAGCATGCTGGCCAAATGCAAGCAGTGGTGTTACAGCCTCTAGCATCCTAAGCAACCAAGTTACCAATGCACTCTCTCCACCTTTCAGGCAAGCAATCAGAGATGACCTCCCCTGTACACATTTACTACCTGTATGTGTCGTAATTGTTGTCACTCCCTCACTGTAGTCTCTCCCCACCTCATGCTGGATAAATTATGTTTTTGACATTTTGTGGGTTATTGTATTACGAAGTTCTGCAGGTCTTCTGAGAGGTGGAAGGAGAGGTAATGGCAATTTTCAATGGAGATAAATGCAGGAAGGACATAATGGGATGGAGTTTTAGGCTGTTTTCTTTTAAGACCCTGAGAGTCAGTGTGTCACTGGCTTTTTGCAAAGATCATGCTTGACCAGAATGGTGACAGCTTTAGTAACAACTTGCATTGCCTTGTCATACTTTTCAAGAACAAGTTTCCTCTTTTGTGCAGTACAACGCTTTCATCTCTCTAGGATGCCTTCCTCCCCAAATCCTTATCTGTGGACTAGCAGATGGAAAGGCAAGAATTTGAGAATAGCCTGGTCAGTATTGAGGGAGTGAGGTTAAAATGGAATAGGGTAGAATTGCTAAAGTAGATTTGAAATTTCTGCAGGGCTTTTTTCTTTTTCCCCTATTGTAAAGAGAAGAAAGTTTAGGCTACAAGTTGTTTTAGAAAGAAGGCAGTGCAGAAAAGGAAAGACAGTGACCTACTTAAAAAGAAATAAAATGCCTCAAACCTCTTGGGGTTGAGTTTAAAAAAAAAAAAAAAGTAAGAAAAAACACAGCACAGTGAGTGTGTGCATGCAAGGAGACAACATCTTCATTTCTTTCCTAGAGGAAACAAAATTTATCAGCAATCAATTTGACTTCTGGTCAAATTATTATTATACCATTGCTATTATGCAGTTTAAAGGGATGTTTTTACTTTGCCTAGTAAGACCTTTAATGTGTTAGTATCTTTTGCTGACTTTCTAATGTGCTAATATCTTGTCTGAAAACAAATGCTTCTCTCCCTGTCAGTTTCCCTAGGGCACAAACAAGTTTCTGCCATCCCTGTTTATTACCCTGTTTATTATAACAGTTACACTGTATTTCAATATTTTTTTTTCCACTTGTTTCCCCCCCCCCTCCGACTATTTAGTGGACATCATCTTGGATGACTAGAAGCTAATTTTTATTCATGCTTTAATCATCTCTTCACTTTAGATGATCTTTCTTGGCGTAGTTCTTGCTATCACCAGGTCATATTAGCCTTTCTCTTGCATCAAAGTGGATCCCCAGGGAAGAAGTCTTAGCTTACTTAATGTAAATCAAAACATGCATGCCAAGTCAGTTACCTTCACAGCTCTATGGATGACAATTACAAGCACAGGAATTACATTTGTCTTATATCCAAAGCTTTGAGAGTAATTGTGTTGGGAACAGACAGGCTGATTTGATACCTTTGTGGATTATTAGGATCCATCTGTTCCATACTTTGAAACCTGTGGTGGAACAAGTCATGGCCAAATAGACAGGAACATCCTGGTGCACAGGTCCTGCTTACAACACAAGAGCCTCCTATGGCTGTGTCCCCTGCATGCTCGTGCCTTTCCAGGACTCAGCACAAAGTGTGAGTGCCAGCAGCATGACTGTGCCAGTCTGGGCCGATCTAAAGCTGACACGGTGATTCATGATCACCACATGGGAACAGGAGACAGGAGCCATATACCAGACCCAAAACCGTATATGCCCATCTGCAGCTTGCTATTCCTGCCATGAGAGATGCTAAGGTTTCAAATTTATTTCTTTTCTGTCATGTTCCTAATGACTTAGTCTCATCCTCTCTTTTAGTTTCTGTTGCCCACTCACCACACTGTCTTTAATCATCTTCAGTCTTCTCCTCACTCTGCTTTGGTTTACCCTCTTCGAAGATCCAGGCATGATTTGACCTCTCCTATTTTAAAATAGTGCCCTTGAACTCACCTGCCTTTCCTGGTTATTGCCTCATCATCCTTTCTCTTTTAATTTCTCAATGTATCTAACAAACAATTTACAGTTG